TCTTCTCTGTAAAGAAATCAAAGATCGTTAGATGCGTTCCAACAGTAGCATCCATGTTACCTTCCATAAACACAGAGCAAGCTCTCTACTTGTGATGTCATTGCAGCCTCTACTGTGCATGCGGGACACTTAAGCTGTATGAATGCAGCTCATATGGAAAAGCACATGCAAGTCGCATATATATGGAAATAAGAAAAAACAAGCTAAACAAATGGAGTTCCCCCCAAACATTTGATTAACCTTAACATCCACCTCATTTTGGGTAATCCTCGCCTATTTTGCATACCCAAATGGAAAAGGAAATAACTTAGGAACTGTGAGCCCAAATTACATGTGCAATACATTATTTGAAAGCTAGCACCCTCTAGAATATATCAATTAAAATTGGGTGAGTAGAACACAGACCAAGCTGCATCAGTTCAAACATGACTCAAAGTATTTTTTTTGTATTCTTGGAAGTGATAGGGCTTTTTTTAACAGCAGTGATAAAGACATTCTTGAGAAAAAGCAGGTTTTATTGTATTATATTTTTTCTACATCATGTCAACCACATATGCAGAACATTTCCGACCTCTAGCTATAACAGTTCCAGAGCTGCGGGGTTTGGAACTTTTGGTGTCAGCTTGGAGCTGCATGCAGTGGCTCCACCTGCTGGTAAAAACTTTACCGGTGGAATTTTATGCATTCTGAATTATTACCCCCATTTAAGGTCCACTGGGTCGCCGGCGACCCGGTGGATTTTAAGAGGTTAAGAATTAATGCCTGCAGTGTGAATGTAGCCTATATTTACTTATTACATTTTTGGTCTAACCAAACTAGATTCCTTGTCTATCTTGGTTAGCACAGAGAAAAGCTTTTGGTCCATTGAGCCCAATTCAATGGACCAAAAGTATCAATACGATAGATGTTATGCTTAATTATATCCAGTCTCTTTTAGTGTTCATTTGTAATGGTGTAAAAGATTATTCCCTGCAGTCAAATTTGTTTTAGGACTCCAGACATTCTTGGCTGACCCCTATACTTTAACATTGGATTTTAGAGAACTGACTTATTTCTTAACAGCTGTCCGTTCCAATAATGCAGTGACTAAATTGTTAAGTTTTTCCTTCCTTTTAAACTCTCCCAACAGAAAGCTTAGGTTAAAAAACAAAGAGTTGTTTTCAGGACGGTTGCTTGGTGGTTAGCAGACTTCTTGCATAGCCTTAGGTTGTGGGTGTATATATAGTAGCCAACCTCAATTGTGATGACCCAAATCACACAAACCACTGATAAACCATTCACTAGAGGCTGTGGCTGAGTTTTTATCTGGGTCTTTGGAACAGCATAGGAAATGTGCCTGTTTCTGCTGCCATTCTAATGTGTGTCTCTCTGCTCTTACTTTGCTGCTATCTGTAATGTTGCATTGCCTTTGTCAGTTCGTCTGTGTGCTGTCATTAGCGCCTCATTAACTCCAAAGCGCTCCTTATCACTCACACCTTGTTCACACCTGAGCACTGGCAGGGTTTAATTTATGAGCCTTGTGTTTGCTGGATGGAGCTTGTTGTAGATCTGTCTTTCACTGGAAAATGCTATTTTTTTATTATTTAGGGAAGCAGACTTGTCAACAAAACGGACAGTGTGCTTGAGTGGAAACTGAGTGTACCACCACAAAGGAGAGACTATGAGCTGACAGAGCTCAGGGCAAGAAAACATAATAAATTCAAGCTGGTTTAATAGCTCAGCTCACAAAGCAGTTTAGAGGGAAACATCCAGACATTAAAAGAAGTCTCTGTGGTTGTTTGCTTTTAAAACCTGAATCAGAATTTTATATGGATGGAAAACTTGGTGCTCTTTGAAAGGGATGCGCTGTCCACCTTCACCAGAGCTGCTTTTTTCACTAATTTCTTTTCCTCTGACAACAAATAATTCAGTTAACATTCTGGGATTTCCCACCTTAAAAAAGGAAATCTCTGCCAACCTTTTACAAATATTTGCCTAAATATATTTCGAGGCGGAAATGTTCCAGTTCAACATTATGCAAAAGTTGACCTATTTTTGGCTTCTGTTTTTTACATTTGTAAACATATATTGAAAATCCACACCATTATTTCCATTTTTAATTTTTATTTATTATTACTTTTGTGAATTTCTATTTATTTGACTGGCAGCAGATTGTTTATCTCTATTTAAGAGAAGGTATGTAAAAATGTAAGCACAGCTTTATGTATTCGAGTGTTAAACATTCAGGGTAATAAATGTAGCTTGAAACAATTTCATAACTTGTTAAAAAACGTAAACCTTTTATTTGTTCCTGGATCCAACCCTTGCTGAGCTAGATGTTACTTTATGCTCTTGCATTTAAGGATAAGAGATTAATATTCAGTTAATTGTTCTTGAACATAATGGTTATATAGATTAACAATATGTGTTACATAATGCAATTATAAGAGCCTTCAATAAGTAATTTACTTTAATGGATTGTATATACTAAAGTGTTTAATGTAACATTTCTGACTTATTTATGAACATTTTAACATTATACATATGAAACATTACTTCTTTTATCTGCTGTGAAATATTTTTCTGACACTGTTAATAGGAACACCATGTCAGCCAACAGGCGTTGATAACGTTCATTTAGAACCAAATTGATTCAGTCATACAGAATGATTAACAAATGCATTTCAGATGCACAAAAAAACTACATCACTGACATTTAACAACCTATGACTGACAGATGGTAACCTTTAATTTTGTCAACTGTGAAATATGATGACAAATTAGTGACATCCATGATAATTAACGCTAAACAATTCATCAAAAATATCTAGCAAAATAAAACATTTTATGCATCATCGACCTTGGATATGTCTCAAAAGAAAAAAAGTTATATTGAACTTATAATGGTACAGACTAAGCCAAATTGAAATGGAATAAAGTATAATTAAAAGTCTTATCCCTTTAACACACAGGGAGCTAAAGCTGTGAGCAGTTATATATGATCGATTTCCCTGCTGTTGGTCAGGGCTCAGGCAGCAGCATTGTGGATGAAATTAAAATACCTGATAATCATTAATGAGATCTACACACAATTAAAATAACATACAAAAAATACAAACCACTCACTATGGGTTCTGTTTTATATTTTTAAAGGATTTTCTTAGCAGAGATTTATAAGATAAAGATAAAAGAAGGGAGACTCTGTAATTTACTGTTTATGGACATTAAAGTTACTGATGAATTCATTACTTTGTGGTGTACTTAAAGGAGTAATAACGTGGTATTTTACATAGATGATCCTTCTGAAAAATTTGTTTTATTTTTCAAAGAAATATAATCTAAATTAGAGGTTTTTGGATCCCTTTTCATACCTGCCCTCAACAAGAACTTATGTGTTCATGTGGATGTAGTGTTAGCAACATTATCAATGGGAGGGGGGGTTCTTGTGTTGGCCCCTCTCATGCAACCTTGCTCTGAGGTCTTTGGCTCTTAACAAACACTATTGAGCATTTTCCCCATGGATAAACCTTACACACACAATCACACCCTCACAAACTCCTACAGGTGCTTGGATCTGGTTACTTATATACATTGATTAATACTGTTTGTTGCTGTATTGTATATATCAGTTGGGGCTGTTCTTGCAGGTGATGAAGAACACTGATGAAGTTTGGTCAATATCTCTCTTTTGTCTTCTCGTTCTTTCACCTCTTGCCTTTTTTTGTAATGTCCACATAACATTAATTATTACCTACAGAAACTATTTACATATATAAATTAAGCAGAGCGCCCTGCGGTGGACTGCGGTGGACTGGTGACCTGTCCAGGGTGGCAAAAGTGATAATGCTCCACTTGTCAGAGTAAAATCTGTTTAGCTCTTTCTGGCTTTAAGACAACAATTCCTATTGCCACATTGCCAGACAGTACACACACACACACACACAAAAAAGCTAAATTAGCTGTTGGCCAGGGTTTTTTTTTTTATTGTACCTTTGTTTCTCTGTCTCCTACACAAAAGATAAAAAGTTATTTCCGATCCAGTCTGATACCAATACCTGGGGTGAGGGTATCAGATAATCGGTATCAGATAATCTGATAAATGGATGAACCATACACCTTCACAATTTTAGTGAAGGCTTTAGCTTTAACATAAATGTTAAGTTATAATGACAGATATAAATATACTTGTTATCATTTATGAACAAATATTCAGCAATAATAAGAAATAACATGTAAAGTGCACTGGACTGGATCTCTGATATCCAGTATCATAGCACTGATATCCGAATGAGTCAGTGTCTGAGCCGATCCAGGTATCAGATCGGTGCATCTCTAATTTGAAGATTCCACACCAAGATTCTGTCGCACTTCAGGTTTTCTGACATGTTTCAACTGAGGCCTAACACCAAAACCAATGTTTTACCATGAAAAAGTCTAATTTCTGGGTGATGACACCGTTAAATGAACAAATGCTTATTAGTCTTTAGCCTTAAGGCATCCAATTGACTTCTGGTTTCTACCCTCAAGAACCATCAGTTTCTTTTCTGCATCACATTGGAGGAAATGTATACATATCCACTCATGGATATTTTGGAGAGACTGACTTAGTGACTGCTGTGGTTAATGCATATAGAAATAGAAAGTTATATGCCTAAAGGATAGATTATATAAGAATAGTTGGGAGTAGGCTGCACTAAAGGGAATCTCACATTAATTATCAGTCATTATTTTTGATCAATATCAAAGGTGAACATTTTATCATTAGATGTTTCAAAAGTGCTGAAGGGTAAAAGCAAAAAAAAAAAAGCGAGACATGTTTGCTCTTTTCTTTTCTTTAGAAACTCTTAATGGTGCAAATGTTTAATGAATACTGCTTTGAATATTACAGCATGGTGTCATTCTATTCACCCCATCCTGTCCCCTCTCTCCCTTCAACAATACCCCTGTCCATCTCCCCTGCACATCATCCAGAGCAGCAGCAACATTAAAAGACTCACTGCGGCGTTATCTTTTCCTCCCAGGTCTCCCTTTGCTACTGTGGCAGACTACTCTGTTACCCGAAATAATGTCATTCAGCTCTGCCTGGAGCTCACCACTATCGTACAGCAGGTGTGTGGAAGCGTTTGTGTGCATGTTTTGAAGGCTGATAGCTTTTATTCTGGTGTGCTTGAAGCGCGAGGCTGAGGGGAGCTTCCGTGGGTTGACATATCCCTCTAAGTGCGCTGTATGCATGTGTGCGTGTGGGTGGCTGGGATGCAGCAATCTCAGTCTCCATCTTTAAGCAAGACTCTATTCTTTGCTATTTATGTCCTTTTCAGTCTGTCTTTTATATGACTGATGTGTGTATAAATAAAAGATGAATGCATGTCTCTTTGTGTGGGTGTTTGCTGTATCAGTAGCGGTGTATCGTATACAGGTGGCAGGGGTTCAGGAATGTGAGGCCCAGACAGCATATAGAGCTACTTTAGCAGCATGAGATGATGAGCGTGTGCATGACAGGATGTTCTTGTGCTACACTGAATTTCTCTCTGTTCCCTTAGGACTGTACGGTGTTTGAGACGGAGAACAAAATCCTTCATGTGGTGAGTTTGTCTTGAGCCAGATGTTGCTTTTGTGTCTCACTCCCACTGAAAGTTGACTCTGTGAAAGCACAAACCTAAACAGGGTTTAATTTTGTGTTCATAGTGTGGGGGGATGAGCTCTCCTAATGTTGATAAATTCAGAGTTCCGGCTAGAAGTGATTAGCATATCTTAGTAACGGGTAAACATCTTCAGCAGAGCTCCTTTTAATGTATGTTTCTTTGTGAAATATTACAGGGTTGTCAGCAACATTTGATAGTGTCTCATTTTGTTTTCATCTTTTCTTTGGTACTTCTTCAAAGTTTATCTAATAATTTCAAGTTCTCATTAAATATTTGCAAAAAAACGCAGATACCGGAACCAATTAGCAAACAGTTGGTGTAAACACTGTACTTCAGCCTTAATTATCTTCTGTCTAAAAGGATTTGCATTAATCAAATAACAGAGAGCATTTTATGTTTTTTCAGTACTTGTAATTTGCATTGCCAGCATTGTTTGCAATGCTTACTTAAGGGAGTGTTTTTAGGTGAAATTCATGTGTTGTGCAAAGATTAAAGGTATAGGGGAGGATTTTCCCTAATTTTTGAAAAGAATCGCCCTTTTGACTTTAGAATAAATGCACATGCAAAACCCTGTATCTGTTCATGAGAGGGAATGCCTGTTAAACGTGTGCGAGAGCATGCACAAGCCCATTTCTCCTTGTGCACGATCTGTTTACAAGTTGCTGTTTGCATCGCTCCAAATGGAGTGCCGAAATTTACAGTACCTGTCGAGTGGAAACTTTGCAGACGAGGCATAAAGCCCAAGCTGTGCTTTCAGTGTACACCACTGCATGAAAGAATCTCCCACAAACACTCTGGTCTTGTTTCTCTCCTCTGAGGCCTTTCTTTTCTTCTCATACACTTTGTAGATGCTTTTTCTCTTATGACCCTCTGCCATTTTCAAAGAAACACAGTGAGAAAAGTAAGCTTCAATGACTGTCTGAAACCGTAGCTCACCACAGATATACGCCTGAAAGTGTGCATGCACAGAAAAATATAGTTAACGGAACAAACATATCAATAGAATGACGGACAATTAGGAGGACCGCTTATTTAGACGACCCACCCGGATAAAGAACATCCTCCCCTATGCCTTTGCAATGGCTTCTCCTGTGAATTATGAACAAAATGGTTGATTATAGAGGTCAGTCACAGCCATGAACAAAACGAAATCTAGCAGTGCCACATTAAAAGCAGATAAGTTAGCGTAGCATTTGATGCAAGACAAACATCCCAATAACAGACTGGCTGAGTCCTAGTGTTGTAGATTGGTTTGGTTTGATACCTAAAATCCAGGTTGAGCCAAATCGGAAGAGAGTTATTAATCAGTATTAGAGGGATGCACAGATTTTAAAAAAATATGGCCAATATTGATATCCTGTATTATTCTTATTATTATATCTCTGTTGATTTGTAACTAATATGTACTGATATAGTTATTTCCAAATCTTTCAGCAACTGTGAAAAAACTACCACACCTCTACCGTTACTTCTCGTTTATTCAAATTCCCACAATCCTGTGCTGTATAAAGTCACTTTCCATCCTTAATGAAATACCACATGGCCATCGCCTTCTCCTCTCCCTCCTGAAACACTATTGATAGCAACAACATGGAAATAAACATTACGTTCCCATTTTAACTTGTTGTTGTAGGATGTGTACAAAATCACTTATCGTTGATGCATACCAGTTTTAATACCAATACATTATGCTTGAATACAGAGAGATATTTAAGCCATTAGGATCTAAAGAACAGTTAGAATTCACATTAAAATATTATTTCATTTATATTTCAACAGAGAGAATATGCTTTGTTATCAAGGTAATGCAAAAATAAAAAAATTAAAACAGTTAAAAAGAGTGCCTGTTACATCAAATGTGTCCCGCATCAGGAAATAAAGGCCTTCGCTGATTCAAATTCAGATTAAGTTAACAGCCCATAATTAAGAAAACATACCGTCCATATGTTGTTCTATGATGTGCGTTCTATTTCAATTTTAAAGTTAAACAAAAGCATAGAGTCATTCTCATGTAAAATGTGCTATATTTTTAGTGCAACACATTTGTGCAATTATAACTGACACATGCTAAAGAATAACCTTTCAGACGGTCCCTCCCCCACCCAAAAACGAATAAAAAAAAAAAAAGGGCGCCATGTCAACTGAGCCTGAAGCTTGGAAGTCATGCATCAATGATAATGTAAACATACCTTTACATACTGCAAGCTGTCAATCCAGTGTTCATTTCAAAAGGTCAGTTAGTTCCCTGCAAAATTGCAGAAATAGCTTCAGAATACATATAATCCTGTACATTTGAGCTTAGACGTCATTCTGGGGAGTGAGAGTTAAAAATCCCAAAAATCAATTAAAATCAGCTGATTTTAATTGAAAGCTGATTAACAGGCTTTTGGTCTACTGCAATCATTATACCCAGCTGCGCTGAAGCAGAGAAACCTCTAAAACCTGCAGGACAGGGGGCCTTGAGGACCGAGTTTGGGGATGCCTGGTGTAAAGCATCTGTCCTTAACATTTTTCCTGCGTTACATTTACTTTATACTTTAAAAAATTGAACTTTTATACTTTTACTTGAGTAAAAAGCTTAAGTTGATACTCTAACTTCTACAAAAGTGTTTTTAAACAGTAGGATTTATACTTCTACCTGAGTATTAAACATGAATACTTTTGACACCCGTGTAAATGCCAAAACACGTGAAAAGAGATATGATCATACACATTTATTTGTATAGATATATGAATAAAGAAATAACTTAATCTTTAATGGAAGAATACATTGTTTCAATTATTTTTTTGTTTAAATCTGTAGAGCTGTGTTTAACTAGGGTTATCAAAAGAATTGATACTCCGAAATGTATTTATACTCAAACGCTTATGTAGATACAAACCATGTTTTTTAACATATTTTTGCTATTGTTAATTTTGCATTCTAGATTCTTTTCACATCAAAAGAATAATACCATAATAATAAAACTACCTTAAAAAAAGAAAAATAATTTTAGATTTGGGTTTGTTATTTTGGATTTACGTGCACCTTATTTAGCTAGTCAAGATTAAAAAGTTGTTTTTTATGCGTTAATAAATATATTTTATATATTTTATCCCACTGTTATTGAAAATTGTATGGAGTACCAAATCCTTTCCTGGGCATCGATATAGAGGTTGGACTTTCAGCACAATAAAAACTCCTAGTTTTATTTTATTCAAATTAAGGGAAATTAATCAAAATTAATTCAGTCAATTCAGTCCAAAAATCACTTCAATTTGCAGTTATGTGGTTTGTTTTTGCCAATTTAAGCTCTGCATTGTTACATGTTTACATTTACTGCCTCTGCAAGTTTGTATTTTGGGTCTTGGTGCAGTTGATACATAATGAATCAGATTCCAGCTTCCAAAAACGTACAATTCAGTTATAGAGATGATCCCTTCCAGATATCACCCCCCACCCCCACCCCATCACAGAGGAACAAAGCACCTATCCGCTCCAGCCGGTGAACAATACATCCTTAACGACCGACCCTTAACAATCATAGACAGGTTTCAGGGTATTACAGGAGACAATCCCTCCCTTTAACGACCAACCTTAAGAATCATAGACAGGTTTCAGGGTATTACAGGAGACAATCCCCCCCTTTAACGACCGACCTTCAGAATCATAGACAGGTTTCAGATATTACAGGCTAACAATGGAACCAAACGACCCATTCATCAGTTACCATTTGCATGTTTCCAAGCAATACAAGGCCTTGTCTATATAAAGACTCAAACTCACTTCGGATCCAGACATTTGAATTGAGAAAGCTTCCTGGAGAGGTGGCGAAACGTCTTCAAATCTTGGAAACCAAGTCCAGGTTTTTTTTTTTACTTTTACGGAATGACTATGACCTGGATGACTGAGAATCTTCTTCAGCATAATGAATCTGAATATTCTTGCATATTCGATTCTCCACTTGCAAAAAACGTGGTTCCTATGAAAAGCCCAGAAAGGATAAAACTAGTTTAGCTCTACATAGGCGTGTGTTGGCTCAAAATGAATATTGATAATGCATCAAGTTCGCCATGAAAAAATAACATTTCCAGGATTTTGTTTTACTTTAATTTAAGAGCAACTTCAATGCTATGAATAACAGAGCGCTAAAGTGATTTAGCTGCTCATGCAGGACCTCTGTTCAGTTTTATCGATATTATCCTTTCTAAAATCTTAATTCAAAATAAAACCAGACCCAGGCAGTAAAAAAGGTTTCTGTACATAGAAATTTTTTTTAATAATATAGTTTTTTTTTTTTTAAGTTGTTTGGACATAATTTAAGGGACAAAACTTTTAAAGTAATACAAAAGATTTACTTTTTCACTTTAGGAGTTTCAGTCTGTAGTCTCAATGTTACAGCTTTTCACAGGTATCTGTAATTCCTTTCTAATTAAAGAATGAGAGTACATTTTATACCTTGTTTAAAAGATTTAAAGTTATTATTTTTTTCAAAATGGAAGATTTGTTAGGGATGTCGGTTAATTGTCATTTTGTCTTTAAAAAAGGCAATCAGGTATGTGTGGATTTAGATATGAATAAAAAAGCCACACAACACATCATATTTTGTGTTTTTGTTACAAAGGACCTGGGTTTTAATCTCAGTTGCAGCAGAAACTTGGTTTAGGTGACAGTTTACTGGCTTGCTGGGCTCACCCTCCTGAAGGGAGCAGCCTAAACAGCTCACATCTACACCATCATTTAGCTGCTGGATTAGATATGCTATGCTTATTAATCTAACACAACCAAGATACGGTTTTCCTGATTTTAAAATGTTCTTTCTCTAAGGGTTTAATTAAGTTTGTGAGTAAACGATTAAATCTAGCTACCTCTTGTACTTCCCGATTCAGTGAAGTAATTCAGATAGTCTCTGATTGATTTAGAGAAACAGTGAACCAATTATTTCCACATTTAAAGTAATTTCCCCAGGGGCAATTGATTTTACAGCCTGTCACAATAAATATATATATAAAAAGTAGCATTTAATAAGAGGGCAGGAGACTAAATGCAACAGTAGCTTCCACTGAGTTGTTAAAAACTATGAAAAGTTGTAAAATAAATGCTTATACAGTGTTTATAGGTCTAAACTTTAAATCCTTTACTGTACGAATATGGAAAACCTGAGTGGCTAAAAAAAATCCCAGTTGCAGGCAAAAGTGAGAAAAACAAGATCCTCAAGAGTAGAGGGGTGTTTACTGGCAGCAGATTGGATAGATTTAGCTGTGACTCTCTTTTTAACTAAGCACAAGTTCATTTTTTTCAGCAATCTGAAAGGCTTTAACCTTTGTCGGGCATCTTCATAGATGATTAAATGATTGTTTCTGCACTTTAAAATCCCCAAACACATTTTTACTTAACAACGTAAATATTTTTATTTCGATTCATTTGTGAAGGCGGAAGACCCAGGACCTGGTATATTAACAATATGCAGGAAATTCATCCCGATCAGTGTAGTTGTATATAATATGCATTTCCTAAGTAACTGCTTGAACTGCAGTAAATGTTAGCTAATATTTTAAGTGTCATGCATTCTGTAATATCGGACACTTAAGATGATATGGAAGGTAGAGGAGGCAAAGTCACAATGAAAATTAAGTGGTCTCTCAATGAGATTCCATTTTTATTTCCAGTACTTTCTTTGGCTCTTTCCTTATGAAGCTGTTATAACTGCAATAGGAACTGTAGCTACATAAATGGATAGCATTTGATGCTAAACTCAGGCCAGGAAAATTAGATTCTGGTTTCAAAATCTGAGTACAAAACTGGAGCACAGGTTGCGGTACAAAAAAACCCCAAACAAAGTTATTTTTTTTTAACATATTTTGTTCTAGTTTTAATATAAAAATCTGTTTCAAATTCATAGCTAAGACATTATAACCATTCATCACTGGTCAAATATGGTTTAGGGCTGTAACTAAAGATAATTTTGCGATTATCGATAAATCTGTCGATTATTCTTTCAATTAAAAGATAAATAATAAGATAGAAAAAGGTTCCTTAAGGAAGATTTTTACTAAATTAAACCAGGTAAAACTCAAATGATTCCACTTGAAGAGTTCTGGATAGAGCATGTTGAAAGACAAAAAAGCTTTTTTAACTTAAACGTGCAATGTTCATTTATTTTTTTATAAATTTTTATTATTTTACGATTTTTATATAATTGCTGCTCAAGGGTTGGTTACTCTGTCAGCTAAAGTCATATTTTATAGTCTCTAAACTCCAGTTAATGATTAATCTATTACTAAATTAGTTGACAATTATTACAATAATTGATGAATCACGATTAATCCGATTAATTATTTCAGCCCTAAGATGGATAATCTTATTGAAAAAGATACTAAACCTTCATGCATAGTTGGTAACACTGCTGTCTGGCAGCTTGGAGTCTCTTTGCATTAATTTGCATGTTACCCCGTGCATTAGTGGGTTCTCTCATAGGCTTTTCCTTTTAGTCACACAATCATCAATGTTAGTTTAACTGATCTCTGAAAAAATGCCCTGAGGTAAAAGTGTTGCAAATGGCTTTAATTATAACAGATTGGTACAAAATCAGCTTGGAATGAAAGAATTAAATAGTAGAATACAGAGAGGTGGCTTATTTTTATGTAAATATGTAAATAATTATGTAAATAATAAAATTAAAAGAAATAAAAACAGCCTGTGAAAGTTGAAAGTGGAGATTGCATGATTTTTTAAGGCTAATGCAGATCATTTTGACATCAGTCAAACCTAATCCCTGATATGTGTTTTCAGTTTTGGGGCCGATTCATGAAATTGATATTTCTCACATGATAAAAAAAGGCCCAACGATAAGAAATTTTTACACAATTTTCAATATCAACGAAAAAGAAACATAAAGAAACATGCAAAACATGTACTAAGTACCAAATGAGGCATTCACTCTATGTGATCTCAAAGCAGGGCTGCTAAATACACCGAAGAATCAGCAAACACATGCACATACCAGCAAACGCCTATTTAGCAATAAAACTCTTGGATAGGCCAAAAATATCATCTCGCAGAGGCATAGAGTCCAAATCTCATGTAAAATAACCACGTCATGCTCCAAGTTTACTAGAAAAAACAAACACATTATCATTTGGAGCAAATAATACATTCTTTCTTTACGTCTAGTTTGTTCTACTTTGAAAACAAAGGTGAGGGGAGTGCAGGAGTGGGGATTTTTGCAAATTCCCTACAGAAACATTAACTGTAGCTTTGATTGATTTTATTCACAGACAATGCCTAGTTCATTAAACAATACTGAACTAACAGCAGCTGAACTTTGTAGCTCATCTTTTAGATACTTTTTAAAAATAGTAAATTGCACTATTTAAAATAGCCTAGGTTATTAAACGAAAGCTCATGTGGTATTTAGAGCCATTAAATGACATTTAGAGTCACCAATTGGTTCCAACTCCACTAAAGACTTCCCATTAGTCAACATTCAAACGTAATTGTCAGCTAAAGTTGGATTCACCTTCTTGACAGCAGATGCTCCTATGTTTTTTCTTCACATTGAACGTTTTGCATCAGTGATCAATGGAGTGGAGCCACATTTAATACCATTAGATGCAGCCAGGCCTTTCCTTGTTATGACAAATCGACATGTCCAGTTTGAGGGATACCTCTTAGTCTGATTTGTTTGTGACTAATAAAGACACAAAAGGATGATTATGCCAATAGTTTTGAGATATTTTTAGTAAAAGGAGCCTTTCAGTAAAAAACGGAGGTCTAGAGAGACAGGAAATGATGAGTGAAGGTGCTTAAAGGAGAAATCTATAATAGGTAGCACAGATATAACTGTCGACTTGGCAGAAAACTCTTCATGAAAAAGTTTGGTGATTTCCGCTGTGGCCGATCAAAAAATAGAGTCAGCAGTTTTTGTTCAAACCTCTCTCTCTGTAATGAAGAATACGACTAAAACTGCAGCAGTTTAACACAGATTTCTTGTGTTTGCCTGGAATAAGAAAACAAAAATGAAATTTACCAGTATTATATCCGGGGTGTGGGAGGGTGCAGTTATTGGGGTTTACTGAAGTGCTGAATTGATAAACGAAAATAAGATTAACTGTGGTGGAACCTGCCCGTTTTCATGCAAGCCGTGTGTTTCCTATCAGAATTTAATCTGCTTTCCCACGGCTATAAAAAGACTATTTTTGTTTTTATAGCTTTGGTCGATAAATCTATTTGTTTAGCAGTTTTATTCCTCTCTTCTGCAGTGTAAGACTCTGTCTGAAGTGTGCGAGCACATCGTATGCGTGTCATCGGACCCACTGGTTTCCCAGTCTGCCCACCTTGAGCTGGTCCACCTCACAAACACCAAACCCTCTGAAGGCCTGGTACTGTTCTTCACGTCTGTTTCTGTTAGCTAAGCAATTTAATAAAAAAAGCTTTGTGTTTCATGTCTAAGAGCTGTCGGACACTACAACCAACAGTGCTGGGAAAAATATTCACCCCTTGCAGATGTATTCAGTTTTAGCCTTTATTTTGTCCCTATTAAATATCTTTAATCAAAACTAATTATACTTATACAAAACTAATTATAATTATTAAAGGTAACATAAGTATACACAAAAAAATTCATTTAAAAATGATTTTTCAGTTCATAAAAGGAAGAAAATAATCCAAACCAACCCAGTCCAATGTGAAAATATTACAACCTCACCTCTAACCTTGTTAAATCTTTTTCTCCAGTTTTAGAGTTTGGCTTATGATACAAATCAGGCTGGATTACTGCCTGACGTCTTAACTAAAGAAATTATTTCAATAGAACATTGCTGATTTTATTAGGTTGCCAGGCTGTCTTGGTTTGGTTAGGGCCCCAATTGTAGAGAAAATGGCAAGGATGGGAAACTTGGATGGGAAAAGGTAAGAAGATAAACCTACAGAGTCCATGGAGCTAACCAAAGAATCCAACAAAGAACAGTGACAACAGGAGAGATGATGGCAGCTGGAGGGCAGGTCTACCTCAGTTTGCTAAAAAACTTCTTTATTATCCATCAGGACTTAAGGTCCTGAAGCTGTAAACACCTGTGGATCTGCTGCAGGGGGTAATCATAGCACCAGCAGGTCCAAAAAAAGCAAAGGATTTAGTGTCCTAGCCAAAGTCTTGCTTCAACAGACTGTGCTTCAAAATCCTCCAATGTGGCTTACATAATAAGTATGATAAAAAAGATAAGTTGACAGAAGTACTGACACAGAAGTGTTAAAGACTCATTACCAGTTATTGCAAATGCTTAATGCCCGCCAAGGGTATAGTAGAACCAGTAATTACCTTTTTCATTCGAGTGGGTCTGGATTGTTCATTTCCCACCTTTAATGATAAATTATTATTTAAAAATTGCATATTTGCTCATATTATCTTTGTCTGATATTATAATTTCCTTGATAATCTGAAACATTTTAAAAACGTGAGGGAGCAACCACTTCTTCAATGGTACTAATTACTCTCCTGGTGAATTATGTGTCTGACATTTGGAATAATAAGGGAGGTTTTCTCTAAAACATACAATGTTTTCAAATTGTCTAAAGACTTCTTTTAGAGGAACCTTGATGCGCTTCATGATTGGATCAAATTTCTTTGCATAGAAAGTGTTTTTACTTTTACCACCAACTCCATAAAAGTCATACAAAAGTATTTTTGTAGAATTCTCTTTTACCTCCAATACACTGCAAAAACAATCTCGAAATAAGTAAAAAGTTCTTAAATTTCCCCTGAATTAAAAAAGGTAAATAAGATGATCCGCCAATGCAATTAGTATTTTTAATCTTAAAATAAGATAATTAGATATAATGCACTTGAAATAAGACAAGGCTAATGTTTTTTCTTCTTATTTTAAATGTAAATTGTCTTATTCCACTGGCAAAGTATCTCACTTCCTCAATTCAAGACAATAAGCACTTATTTTAAGAAAAAATTACTTATTTAGATTTAAAATTGTTTGCAGTGCAGTTTCAATTTTTAGTACATAAATTGCTCTGCCACAGATAAATCCAGTTGGACTGCAGAGAATCCTTATGCAAGTAAACCAAAATGAAAAACAAAACCATAAGTGAATTTAGGAGATTAATCTAGCCTACTAATAGTGTTGTCTTGTGGTTGATCTGATTTAGAGTGAATGGTTAGAGGTTAACAAAAAAAATCTGGTTTTCCAGGTTTTATGACTGATAGTTAATCTTTTAGATGCACCATTTATTTTCAAATCTAAATTTCACTTTAGATCAAATAATTATTTCATTTTTATTAATTCCATAGATACTTGTTGTTACTGTTACCTCCAACTCCATGGCAAAACATAATCTTTCTTTTGTGGCTGCACTCAAACTACCATGCAGTTAACTAATTTAGATAAAGGAGAACTGCACTGGGTAGCATGTTTATCCATTGCACATGGAATCTCTGTAGATCTCCTACAACTTAGCCTTCCATTGGATGCACAGTTAAAAATGCTGTATTTCCTTATGTAGAATGTAGAAAAAACCCAAAACAAATATTTGCTCTAATGTTTAATGGTGCAGAGACTAAGTTGATTTTCTTTTTGCCTTTTTATTGTTAAACTTCACATTAGATTTTTGGAGACTTTTATTCAGAATTAAAGTTAATTCCATTTCTGTTCATCAGGGGATGTACATCAAGTCTACCTACGATGGTCTCCATGTGATCACAGGAACGACTGAAGGGGTGAGAAGAGTTTTGGGGTTGTTAAAATTTCTTTTGTCAGCAAATCGGTCAACATCAGTGTCCAACAAGAGCCTGTCGGATTCCATACAGATGACTCCGCATGGCTGCTTGCTTTATGGCATTGGTTATTTAAGTGGGGGCTGCTGCGAAATGTCAAAAAAGTGTCAGACAGGAATCAATACGCTCAGATGGATTTTCAATCTCCTCTTTGTGTCCTCTGTGATTTTCAGTCTCCGGCTGACCGATGTAAGAAGATCCACGCAGGAGATGAAGTCATTCAAGTTAATCACCAGACTGTGGTAGGTTTATAACCAGTCTGTAAGCCCATATTATATATCATAAAGCAACAAATACGTGGTGGATGATGTTTTTTTTTCTCCCTTTTTACACTTTTAACCTTGAATAAACTTACTTGTAAAAGGAGTCAGTTTATAGGTAATTCAACCTCAGACTAAATACAGCTCAGTTGAATGGCATAAAACATTAAATAGCAGCATTATTTATCACATGGTAACTCTGGAGGAGCTGCAGATGTCCACAGCTCAGGTAGGAGAATCAATTGACCAGACATCTATTAGTCCTGTACTCCAAAAACTTTGACCTTAAGAAAAGCAACATTAGGATGATTTGTTGTTGAAAGAAAACTATAATTACATGAATAAAAATGTATGATTGGGTTAAAATGTGTTTGGATAAAAAACAAAAACTTATCATATTGTGCTGTTTATGAAGACATAATTAACAACTAATCTCACAAAACAGTCGATTGGAACACAAATTTGTCAGTTGTTTCAGTCAGAATTTTCTGATAGCTTCTAACTAGAACATGTAGCCACTCAAAGGGGAACTGCATCACATTAATTCCTGATGCTGATGCAGACTCAGGTTAGCGTATGCATGCCTATCAGTCAGTCAGCAGAAACCATTCCTCTTAAGCTATGGATATTTGTGCATAAGTAATCAGAATAAATGGCTGATTGGACAAAAACGAGTGGCTTGATGCTCTGGCTCTATGCTTATTCATCCTAACTTTTATTCTGATTGTTTATGTTAACAGTGCAATCTAATATTTTTTTTGTTTTTAATCGGAAAAAATTTCAATTCAATCGTGAAATTTTGTGGAAGCTTCAGTAGTTTTACAATTTTATTATCAGACCAGACAGTTATGGTCACAGGACACATTTTTAGTCCAATTGGCCATTTATTCCATTGATATATCCATATAGACATAAGCATTGAGTCATTAGGGGCTCTTTTTAAAGTTTCTCATTAGCTATGTAGGAGAGAGCAAACATGTGAAATTAGGAAATGACAAAATTTTGTGGCTTATATGCAAAGCATCATGTAACGCCAAAAAAAACCCCAAAAAACTATTGACATCAACCTAAAGATACCGTATAATTTTTACTGTGACGCACGGTGGTGGCAGAATAATACAGTGAGGATTCATTTTAAGCAGAAACAGAAAAGCTGATTAGAGATTAAAAAAAGCCTAATTTAACTTCTCAGAACATAACATCCATACATTCATCCTTCTATTTATCTCCCTATCTTTCAATATGACCTCTTTTTATTTGTCCATCTTCTAAACATTGTCTTTATTGTCTGTTTTTTTCATCCACCTCCAAAAAACTCAATGCTTTATGCTATATTAAATTAGAAGAAACTGGAAAGCATCTCAGAAAAAGTTTGAAACTTTTACACAACCAGTTTTGGGAAATGCTCAACCTGGAGAAAGCATCCCACCAACTTCAAATTCTTAAATCATTGTTACATGGATAAACATAAAAAGGTGACAGGTGGTTCCCTATTAATCTAAAAAAAAAAAAAAAAAACAGTGTTGATATTCCTTTTTAGTGGCCTTGTGTCGTTTTGCATTACTCTAAATCATTTCTCTCTTTGATCACAAACAGATCTGAGGTCAGCTCGGTAAGTTCAGGTGTGACGAGGCTATGAGTATCTCACCCTGGTGGGCAGTTTGATGTTTGTTTACAGTTTGTATTTGATCACAAATTTGCTGCAGGCAAAAAGTGTAGGTGTGGCTTTTTGCACATGGTGGATGAAATGTAGAAAAGATGGATGATAAGATGCTTTTGTTTTGAAAATGAGGGCAGATTACATCACATGATGCCTCTATAGATAGATTTACCGCCTCGCCACCTACTTGCTTCGCTCTGAAGCCTCAACAGGCAATCACGATGTGGACTGGATTCAAACTTCAGCCTGCATGTAAATGATCCTCTGTGGAGCATAAATGAGTGAGCTTTTATCCTGACAGAGGATGATATCGCCGAAGCTGCTTTCTCACTTTCCCTCCTCTCTCTTCTACAGGTGGGCTGGCAGTTACGCAACCTGGTCGGCTCGCTGAGGGCCGATAAAGGCACCGTGTCCCTGACCCTGAAGAAACGTCCCCAGAGCACGCTTAGCTCCGCCCCTGCGCTACTGAAGAACATGCGCTGGAAACCCCTTGCTCTGCAGGTGGGACCGGCGCTACCTTTTATAAACTTTATTAAAGCGCCGTGCTGGTCCGCATCGACTCCCCAAAGCATTCCTCCTCCTGCTAGGTCGCAGCCAAAGCGTGTAATTAGGTCACGAAGCTGTGGCTCAGCACGGGGTTCGTTAGCCGGCCGAATGGAGTGAATGGGAGGAAAAACTAATGGCTTTCCACCCACATTCCCAGAGCTCAGCTGAATGTGAAATTTCCCCCACTAATTATCTCTAATTGGCGACACAAACAGAAGAAACAAGAAGGAAAAGTGTTTGTGCATCAAAACCTGACTTTCTTTGTGTATTTTTAGTCATCTGCTTCAAATATTATGTATTTAAAGTCATGCTTTTTAATATAAACAGCTTTTAGCTCTTATGTTCTAGAAAGCATTAAGATAAAGTCAGCTTCCATTTCAGTACAAAAATGTAATATTT